ATTCATTTTGTTGCTGAAATATTCCTTTCTCCGCCATTTATTTTCCTTTTCTTGAAGACATCAGACAATTTTATTCCACTGCCGTCGAGCGGGTTTCATTTCGCTTTCACGTTTTTTTATTTTCTGGAATTATATGCTATCTTTATATATATATATATATATATATATATATATATATATATATATATATATATTTAAAAGAACAAACAGACCACTTTTTAAGGTACCATTATAATAATTTATTTCACCAGAGCCCTTTTAAAGGACGCCGGATCATCAGATAGCACTTCCAAAAATGAAATGAAACGAAAAATTAAATTAAAATTGATAGGTAGTGTAAGTTTTTGTAATTTAACAGAGAGTGTGAAAGGGATAGTTAAAGAGACATGGTAGAGTATAGGGAGGGATTAATTTCATCTCTCTCTCAAGCATACTTTGTATTGGGGCAGGAGGAGTGATCAGACCTTGACCTATTTAGACGGTTAACTTAACGGAAGTGATATATTGAAATGGGAGGGGAGTAGGGAGAAAAGAAAAAGGAAAATGAAAGAAGGGGAGAGGGAAGTAAAGAGAAAGAGTCTGTAATTGGGTTTTAGCAATTTATGTAAAGAATAGATTTTAATGCTGGATAGAAATTTAGATGTCTAGAAAAATTTATTTGATGTTTGCTATCAATTTAAATATTTAATTTTTTAAACAGATAGTTTAAGGATTTAATACTTAGTTAAATACTATTATTTATTAACACATTTATAGAGAGCATATTAAAAAATATTTTAAATTATAACAGTTTGTTTATCCGACCAATCGTACTTTTTTAATATTGTAAAAATAGTTACGGTAACATCTTTATTAGTTTTACTTTTAATCTAATTTATGAATGCCATTTGTTATTAATTTTATATGGGTAATCTTACTTACTTAAAGTTTAGGTTTAATTATGGAATAATATTTGAGGGTAATATTAAAGATTTTGCTTTTTCTTCTTATATATATCACAAACATATTCATGCAAATATATATATATATATATATATATATATATATATATATATATATATATATATATTCCCCCAGCAGACAAGGCGCCAATGTCAGGAAAAGACTGGGGTTAGAAAAGACAGGTTAGAAGTGCGAGAAAAGAAACTGTTAGTGTAGGAGTGGCAGTTTTATCTAGCTATTTCGATTGGAGCTTGTTGTCATCAGAGCACTTGCTATAAAATTATTTGTAGAAAAGACAGAGGGAAGCCGCGTGACGTCGGTGAGCAATTGACTCAAGTCGTGATGCCTAGATTGGATCAAATACATTAGAGACCCTTTTGGATTTTTCTAATAATCTCGAAATATACAGCGGAAGCACCAGATTAGATAAGGCAGCAATATTCAATGGACGAACGGATGGTAGATTTATATATGTGCAAAACGGATTCTGACACAGTGAATTATCTTTCCTTGAAGGAGACAAAGCATTTTTTAACATTAACCTTTATCATTAGTTTTCTTGAGTATATAGTATAGCTGGACACTGGTCTACTAGTCCCTACTGCAGGCGCTTGCTCAGGCTCATTTCTGTTTATTCAACACCCACAGAGCTAACATGTGGTTTATACAGCAACTATGCTGAGCAGAACTTTGTTGCAGTTTCGGGTAAAGAGCGTGTTATCTAGCGTGATCATCAATTTGAACAAGGCCAGCACGCTTAGGCTATCGGCCACGATGACTTGCGACTTTTTGCTATCGAACGCACCCAAAGGTTCCGTTTACAAAAATTCGCTCACAAGGCTTGGGTCAACCCGTGATATGGTTTTTCAAGCACTTTCCAAAGGTTCCGCACACTGGGATCGACAACTCCAGTCCGATGATAACAGGAAGTTTCCTTCCTGACAAATAGACCATGGTGCCATTCGAACCCGGGTCTCATGGTCAGAATTCGAATGTTCTAAACACTCGGCCACTTGGAGAATCCTCTTTTTTATCTTCAGAAAATCATTCATCCATTCAGTAAATATCGTTGCATTTATCCGGCCTGATACTTCCACTGTGTATCTCAAGATTCTTGACAAAATTAAAAAAAAACGTTATGTAATATAACCGATCATAAACAGGCATCTTCAGTTATTTTCTCAGTGGCATGACGTTTCTTCTCTATGTCCTTTCTTCAGATATTTTCAAGACAACTGCTCTGATGAGATTTGTTTCCCTGTCGCCTTGAGTGCATGAATTTCATCGTGATACTAGTTTGGCAATTAGGTGTCACCGATTTACTATTGGATTAGCTCGATGCAACCACCACTTCTATTCTAACGGTTACATTATCCGCAACGTGGAACTCCTTTCCGATTTCTTGCTTCCCAAACAACTACAATCTTCAAAAATTTAAATGCAAATGTAATCGGCATTTTCTATCTTTCAGAACCCTGTTCCTTCATTGTCTTTTCCTAACGAAAGTACTTTTATTCTCTATCATTCCCTGTAACTACTCATGGCATTATTGATTTGA